ATCTTGAATTTTGAAAGAGCACTCTGTAATCTTCAGAAGTTCCACTCTTTTCAAGTGTGTGTCCTTTAAAGGTTTTTCTGCAGAGAACAGGACTATTGACAACACAATGTTACCAACACCAGCCAGCAAAACCTCTTAAAAATTACTGGGGGGAAACACTGCTAAAGTGAAACAATTCGGGCCAGATTTTCCAAAAGAGCTTGGCACTAAACAGCTCCCCATCATGACAAACCCAGATGTCCAAAAGACACCTGCATCTTAACCTGCTGAGCAATTTTCAAAATCTAGCACCAACAGCATATGCTGAGCTATTTTGAAAACCAGTTGGCAGATTCTCAGCTTGTGTAAACTGACATAGCCGCACAATGGAACGATGACAGTTTATGCCATCTTGGGATCTGCTGGTGCCTCACTTAGATTGAAGTGGTGGCTTTTGTGATGTGGTGGCTTGTTCAGCAGAAGCTGAGCTGAGCCTGCCAACTCCTTTAAGCTGTCATTGGGAACAACTTTTAATTAGTCCGGTCCTGGTCAAATTCAGACCAGTGGCCTAGAGAAGTTCCAAGGTCATGTGCACACACATGGGAAACCAGAATGTTTATTCCTGGTTAGTAAATATTTACTGGTTCTAAAGAGACAAATGAATCCTCTGAGAGTTCTTTAAGCAGTAGTTACAGAATTCCAGGGAAATATGGAGAGGTTTTCATATTTGTGTGTTTTAAAATCACACATTACATTCAAAAATATGTGGAGAACATTTGATGTTTAACAAATACTGTAATAATAGTGTTGCAAAGCCTTGCTTCTCAACCTGGAGATTGTTAACAGGTCCAGGGGATGTGTACAAACCTTCCCTTTCTTTTTGGCTAGACGGGAGGGGGGAATCATGAAATTTTGTGTAACAGGGGGCCACAGTATGGAAAAAGTTTTGAATCATAACTGGAAGGGGAAGGGGAAGATCCAGCTGACAGGCAATCTTCCAATGACAGACGGTCGCCCTTTCTGACCTGCATAATCAGGAATGATTTTTAAAGAGTGAAAATGAGACCTGAGGTTAGGCAGAGAGGAACTTGATTCCAGTCCTTGCACCAGGAGGTCAGAGATTGCTCTGCTGAGAATGGTTAAAACATGGGAGTAGAATCTGTCTGCCTGTGCTGCATGAACATCCTAGTCGCTCATCTTGCAAACACTTAGTCATGTGCTTAATTTTAAGCATGTGAGTAATCCCAGTGGTCTGGATGGGGGCCCTAATTAGAGTTGCCAAGCCTCCAGGATTGCCCTGAGGTCTCCAGGAACTGTGGACGGTCTCCCCCGGTCCTTGTTCCTTATCTCAGTGCTCCCCTGTACCCTAGAGTCCCTGTGCACCTCCTCTCTGCTTCCTGCTCCCCGGGGTTACCTACTTTCTAATGGCACAAAACCGAACATCCCTGCCCTGCCCCTTTCCCAAGGCCCCGCCCCCATTCACTCCATCCCCGCTCCCTCGCTCTCACTGGGCTGGGGTGTGGAAGGAGGGTGAGGGCTCCAGCTGGGGGTGCGGGCTCTGGGGTGTGGGCTGCGGGAGTTTGGGTGCGGGAAAGGGCTCGGGGCTGGGGTGCAGGGTCCTGGTGGCGCTTACCGCAGCTCCCAGGAAGTGGCTGCCAGGTCCCTGCAGCCCCTAGGCCTTATTGGAAAGCTCTGAGAGACGGGCAGGTGCAAGCCCGTCCGCTTCTAAAGGCCCCTCCCCCAGCCTTGCAGGAGGGACCACTGGCCCCGGGATCCAAATGAGTTCAGGTGACAACTAAGAAATAACAGAATCAGGAGTGAAGGTCAAAGGTGCAAAACTAGGGATCCAGAGGGGGACACCGAGCAGAGAACTCTGGACAGCGCCCACTGTTCCTCAAAGGTGTCTAGGGAGCCAGCAGACGCCACCCAGAGGAACTCTGCCCGGATGCGTGAGACCAGGGAGGAGCGGCAAAAGGCCCCACAGTCGCAGAACACCCCTTCGTCTTGCATCCTACTCCCAGCGTTGAAGATGGTCACTTTAGCAAGGGCCAGGAGGAGGTTGATGAGGAGGTCTTGCGACTTCGTGGGGCCACAGTCAGGGTGTGCAAATATAAACAGGTGTGGGGAAAAGTGCAGCCAGAACCTCAACAGGAGGTTCTGGAGGTGCCAGAAGAAGGTCTACAACCTGGCGCATTCAAGCTAAGCGTGCACCAGGTTCTCCCTAATGGCTCAAAAGTGGCAGGCGTCAGGGATGGGGTGAACAATGCCAGGTACAGGCCCGTGCTCATGGATCCATGAAGGAGCCGCCAACCGATATCCCTGGTGGGCCGTGGGACCAGGGTGGAATAGAGGCTGGCCCACCAGGGTTCCTCACCTCCACAGGTGATAAATAGTCCTGCCATTTGGTATCAGGGTGGGACACGAGGGTGAGGAAGTAAAACGTGTGGAGCATGAGCGTGTAGAGGTGTTTGCTTGGCGCGGTTCGGAAGCGAACTGGCTGCAGGGCATGCAGCCGGCTCGGATTGTGGAAGGGAGGGGGCCGGGAGGGCTCACAGGACAGGGACCCGATGAAAAGGTTCAGAGGGTGAGGGGTGGGCAGGGAGCACCCTCTCGCAGTACCCACTCAAGGAAAACCTGAGAGGAGGGCAACAAGGCTGCCCACACCTCCTGAAGTACATGCGGGGGGGAGGGGTCAGAAGGGTGGAGAGCCCCATGCGCCGACCGAGTGTTCAGGGGTCCACCCAGTCCCCCCTGTCGTAGTCCAGGAGGACTCTGATTCTGGTGGTTTCTGCCAGGACAACCACCGGCGGACCAAGGGGAACTCCACCACCTGCACACAAAGGTGGGGGTTGTGTAGCAGGGGGTTCCGCGAGGAGGTCTGCCCCCTCAGTGGCCACAACGGACCTGGTCGCTGAGAACTGCTTCCAGGTCTGGAGGAGGTCCTGGTAGAAGGCCGGCAGCTCGGAGAGGTCTTGCGGAAGACCCCCCAGGTGGAGAAAAAAGAGCTGCCTGGCGTATTGGAGCCCTTGAAGGTGGTGGAGGAAGGCATGCACCAACATGCTCCATGCCGGACTACCTGCAGCATAAAGGAGTCTCTGCAGGGCCTGGAGGCGGAAGACATGGACCTGGCTGCGGAGGCAGACCAAGCCCTGTCCTCCCTCCTCCAGGGGAAGACTCAGGACCCCTGCAGAGACCCAGTGCAGTCCTGGCCAGAAGAACTCCAGAGCTACCCTCTGGAGCCAGGCAGGGAGCCCTGGGGCCGGGCTCAGGGTGTTGAGCTGGTGCCAGAGCATGGACAGAACTAACTGGTTCAGCACCAGTGCCCTCCCCCACAGGGAGAGGCACCGGAGGAGCCCTGTCGATCTCCACAGCCGCTGACCTACCCTGGCCTCCAAATCCTGCCAGTTCTCCGGTGGAGAAGGATGTGTGGTGGAAAGGTAAATGTGTAGGACTCATGAATGAAATTGTTTTTAGTTATCCTGTACCATTGTAACTTCTGTTCACCATTTCATTACACCTGCCATTTTGCCTACCTTGTAACTTTCATTACACTTGCCATTTTGCCTACATTGTAACTTCTGTGCCATATTGTAATTCAAACCCCATTTTAAAACGCTTACTCCATTTTGTAAGGGCTTGCTGCAACCTTCATTTTTGCAAACCCTGCTGTAATTTTATTAGTCTAGTTGAGATGTGTGAATGAGGGATGCATGGGTGATAGAATCAACCTCCAGCACCAGCCCGTCCTGATGAGATAAAG